AGTGAAACTGTAGCTTTTCTGCTGCACTTTGGCTGTTTGTGTACACAACATGAACAGTCGTTTTCTCTGATATCTAAATATTTTAAATACAGATCAAAAAGTGGAAGGTACCCTGYATCGATGAGAAATTGCACGTGTGAAATATTGACTCATGTGCGTGCATGGAATCTATAGCGAATTCAGTGAGCCCAGCATCGTAGTGTAAAGTGTTCTCCTGATCAGCACAGCTACGGCTGCCCTGGGGAGGTGCACTCTCTCACTCTCACATGGCGTTCTTTGACCATCTTTATAAGGTTTATTCAACTACATTTCTATATTTTGCTGGGACAATTGTAAAGACGACTGTATTTTCTAACAGCCTCGGTCATCTGCTTCTTTCAGCCTGTGTATTTCACCAGCTTTGAAGTTATAATAAATCATAAAATACTCAGCTCATACACTGCTAGACAAATGTTCTGCCTGGAGGCAATGTACTGCACTGAGTCTCAACGGGGGGGGAGAGAAGAAAAATATGTGATTTTTGTCACTCAACCATGTCAGTGAGACACAACACTTTTATCTCATGGACTATAAATCGAGATTTAGTTGTTTGTTGTCTCTTATTGAGTCAGAACATCAAATGCTAGCTGGTTTATTATTGTCTTATCTCCGCTTTTTTAACTTTTTTGTCTTCCAATAGTATGTTGGTCATATTTGTGAAAAAACAAAACTCACTTTATATTTTCAATACAGAAATAATTTGATTCAAACTATTCTTTAGATCATATTTACAATTTGACATTCATGATAAAAAAAATCAAGCAGATTTAGCTTCAGATTCTTGTTTGGTATGAACATCAAATGCTAGCTGGTTTATTATTGTCTTATCTCCGCTTTTTTAACTTTTTTGTCTTCCAATAGTATGTTGGTCATATTTGTGAAAAAACAAAACTCACTTTATATTTTCAATACAGAAATAATTTGATTCAAACTATTCTTTAGATAATATTTACAATTTGACATTCATGATAAAAAAAATCAAGCAGATTTAGCTTCAGATTCTTGTTTGGTATGTTTGCCTTCATCGCTAGCAGCAGACTCATTTGTGGTATTTGTGGCTTACTGCTGAGTTCTGTGACACACTGAGATAACTTCTGTCAGAACAGGAAGGAACCAAAAATTTCTGATGTTCTCTCTCCACAGTGCACAACACTTAAAAACACAGGATGATATTTTTAGAGCAGGTTTCATCTGATGAGGGGGGTCAGGTAAGGAGCAGCTACATCATGAAAGACAAGCATCGTACACAGAGCAAAGCAGCAGCACCACCCCACTTGTTGCAACAAGAGGGAGGAGAGCCTCTTTTTACCTTAGGCATCCGCCCAGACTTGTGAGCGCACATGACTGAGTTGATCACGCACGCTTGCTGTACGAATGGACAGAGTGGAGTGACAGACTTTTTTGTTTTGTTCCTCAGTCTCCATCTCTGCCTTCGTGATCCATTGTGTCTTAGGTTACTTGATCTGAGTCACAATCGAGGTCAACCTGGTGGAATCAAATGTGGAGTCAAGAGAGCAACATGTTTATAGTCACAGGCACATCACTCAACCTGAACATCTACTGAGGGATGTCTTCAGTATTTATTTTAGTTTTAACTGAGCAGAATTTAAAAAATAAAATGTTTTATTTTGCCTAATTTTTCATTTGGGGTAAAGCATTGATGATAGCATTACTGAGYCCTGAGCTTAGCTTTGATGAAATCTATGGATGGGTATCAGTGATAGATATAAAGCTACTATTGCCTTTTGATCATTATGTTTACATTTTTTTAGGGAGATAAAGACAAGATATGAGAAAAAAAAACATTTTATCAGTGACAAAAAAWWRAWWAAAWWAAAMTAAACTACCAAGTCAAGATGCAGGGTTCGACAAATCCTATTGCACGACTGCCTGGGGCAGGTAAAACTCATATTCGGGCAGGTGGGAGTGTCCCGATGCCTGCCCGACCGGGCATGTAAACAATTTCTTTTATTTTTTTAGGGCCGTTTATTCAAAATATTCTGAAAATAAATGAAGAAATGTAGCGTTTTAAAACACATATAGAAAGAATAAATCCTCAAAATTTCTCCCTCCCCTGTAGAAAAGTTCCATCTTGCCATCGTGTTGCAGGATTATTTCCTCCCTCCTTCCCGCTGCACGTCACGCAGAGCGAAGCTTTAACCGTAGTTTTTTCACACCCAAGTTGTCGGAGAAAAAACTTGTTTTTTATGTATTGTTAGCCACAGAGATGATAAAAAGTTGGGTACGTTTGTTCAGTCATAAATCCATCTTGCTAATGTCGGCCTGTGTTCAGAGCAGAGCAGCAGTGGGTCAGTTCAACAGGCTCACTGTATAGCAGGCCAATATTGCATTTATTTGGCTTCACCATGCT